GTGATTCTGATGGGCTTTCCTTTATAGGTAATCTGTTTCTTTTCTCTAGCAGCTTTTAATATTCTGTTCTTTTGCTGGAGTTCTGGGAACTTGACTGTTATATGTCTGGGTGTAATTTTATTTTGTTCGTGGTTGGTTGGAGTTCTATATGCCTCATTTACCTGGATATCAGGTTCTGTTTTCATACTTGGGAAATTTTCTGCAATTATTTCTACAAATATTGTTTTTATGTCAGTTGTGTCGCCTCCTGCTGTTTCATTGACTCCTATAAGTCATACATTATTCCTCTTTGCCTCATCTTGCACCTGTTGAATTGACTTTTCCTGGATCCTTGTTGATTTTACAAGATCCTTTCTTTCATAGTCACTACCTGCTGTGCTATCTTCAAAGTCTGAGATCCTATCTTCAGGTTCATTCAAGCGATTTTGGCTGCTTTCAATGGAAGCTTTGCTTTCCTGGACGTCTCTTTGAATCTGGTTTATGCGTTCTAAGTTTTTTCTGTATTTTTCATTTCATGCTTCTGTCCATTGCCTTTGTTCTTCTATTTTCTTATATGTTTCTTCTTCAGACTTTTTGAGCAGTTCCTTCATTATTATTGTCATTTCATTTTTTGCCTGAGAGATTATTTCTGATCTCATGTCTTCTATGGCCTTATGGAGTTGTTTCTTTACTTCCATTGCAATCACTTCAGCTATTTCAGGCATGTGTTTACCAAGTTCTCCTATGTCAATGTCTCCTGGAGTTGTTCTGAGTGGGGTGGAGTTCTGGGATTGTGTTTTAGTTCTTTGTTTTGTCATGTTTGCTACTGGATGCAGAAAGCTCAGTTTCCCTCTTCCATGGCTTCACAGCACAGGTCACTAGTGTCCCTAGTTTTCCTGATGGTCAGGTTTGCCCCTCAGTGACCCCTGAGAAGCACTACTTAGTCTTAGGTTTTCCAGCACTTGTTGATTTGTATCTAGTTACCCCAGGTCTCAGACACGGGCATTGGTGTCAGCTGATGGCAGGCGTCTGATCCAGCATCCTTGCAGTTCAGGACACATGCACAACCCAGACTCGGGTTGCACTGGTGTGACAATCCTGGTCCAGTGGACCTATGTCCCCAGGCAGTTCAGGGTACTGGCAAAACCCAGACACAAACTTCAGGGTTGACAGTTTGTGAACCACCTGATTCTGTGCCTCCAGTCAGTTCAGGACACATACAGGAACCAGATGCAGGCCGGATGGGCAGCAATCACAGACTGCCCGTGCCTGTGACCCCCTAGGGGGTCCAGGCACAAGTAAAGCACAGACTTGAACCACTGGACCAGCAGCTCTTGGAGCACTCCCTCACTTGACACTAGGAGTGCTCAGGGTGGGGTCACATGTACCCCCCAGCTAGAGCAGTCCCTGGGGCTTCTGAGTGAGGACCTCCTATCTGCCATGGGAGCAGGGAGGGCAGAGACTCAATCTGTAATGGTGGCTTCCTGGGCCGCCCGCCCTGCCCCCAGGAAGAAGATGGGAAATACCTAGCTCTCTCCCCGAGTTTCAGCTGGGAACTGTGGCGGTGGAAGTAAAGCACAGACTCAAACCGGAGGACCAACAGCTCTTGGAGCACTTGCTCACTGGGCACAGGGCATGCACTGTCATTTGTGCTGACTCCTGCTTTTTCATTGATATCTATCAGTCTTATACTGTTTTACTCTTGCATAATCTTGCATCTGTTGAATTCTTATTTCTTGGTTCCTTGTTATTTTTAAGAGATTCTTCCCTTTGTGATTGCTAGTGCAATGCTGTCTTCAAGGTCTGAAAGTCTGTCTTTAGTTTCATTCCAGCAGTTTTGCCAGCTTTCTTTGGAATTTTTAATTTCCTGGATATCTTTTTGAATCTGTTTCATGCATTCTAAATCTTTCCTATACTGTTCATTTAAGATTTCCATCATTTTCCTGTGCTCCTCTATTTTTATCTATGTCTTCTTTAGATATGTTGAGCAATTCTTTCATTATGGTTGTCATTTCTTTTTTTTACCTGAGAGATTACTTCTGATTTGATTTCCTGTACAGCCTCATGGTGTTGTTTCTTTACTTCAGTTGCTATCATTTTAGAAATTTCAGCTGTGTGACTTCCAATTTCTTCTATGTTGATGTCTCCTGGACTTATTCTGGGTGGGCTGGAGGTCTGAGATTGCATTTTGCTCCTTCATTTTGATATTTTCTGTCTCAAAATTTTTTAATTTTGTCTTCTGTAATGATCCTTGTGAGTTTTGGTAGTAGGTAGCTAGATCACTAGTATCAAGGCCTTCTAGGAAAAGTCTGTTTTTCAGGTGTGTCTTCTGTGTGTAAGAGATTCTTGGTTTGTGTCTGTCTCAAGATCCTCCCTACCCAATTAACTGAGAGTAGGATGTTGGTTTCTGTTTGACTATGTCCCCAGTCTTTTGGTTTAGTGCTGTGGTGAGATTATTACGCCAAAGCTTCCCAATATTGTTACACAAGGGAAAACAACTGATTACAACATATATGCTCCTAGCTACAATAGTGTAATTAGCAATAATGATAGCATCAAGCACAATTTAGAAATTGACAAACTGTGGTACCTATTGATTTTGTACTTTAGACCATAGAAGCAAATTCTATAGTTACATAACAGAACCAATTGTAAATTAGGAGTACTTATGCAAAGTGTTTCCCCTTGCTAGATTTAGCCTGGGTTCCTCCTAGTGAGCCAGTTGCCAAGTCCCGGGTGTTTCCTGTGTTGGCTGCCTGCACCACAGTGTAGGGGAATGGGCCAGGCACTGGGGTTCCCCTGGACCAAGATTCCTATCATGGCGGAGAGGCTATGGGCAACATCTTTCCCCTTCCAAGGGGCTCACTGAGGCTCCTGTGATAGTGGCGAGGTGATGGCCACAGTCTCTTCACTCCTTCCTGGCTCATGGGGGCTCTCTTGATGGCAGAGAGGTGATGGGCCTATGCTTCTTTTTTCATGGCCACTTGGACTTTCTTATTTTGTTTATTATAATTGTGTACACAGGAAAGAAGACAAACTCAGAACTTCCCTAATGAGACATCAATCTTCAGTATATTTTTTCTCAAAGAAGACAGACTCACACACTACAACACTACCAATGACACAGTCATTATCCTCTAGAATGTCTCCCAATTGGTATCTGTCTAGTCATCAGATTAGTAAAGTAACTGTATCAACGGTGGCACCATCGACTTCAAAATCTACTGTGATGAGCTCTTCCCAAATAGACAGCAGTCTTGGTAAGCAAAATACATACCAAATACATAAACTATTTTTAAAGCATGTGTTTCAATAAATTCTTCTTTGTGCCTCACAGTCAGAATGTTCTATTATTTGTCTGCAATAATGCTAATTTCTCAGATGTCATGTGCAGAGTAACTTTTCTATGGCCATGACTGAGTCTAGGCCTGGAGTCTTAAATTCAGGTCACATAAAAACGTATGTCCCAAGATATAAAACCATGATTAATATGTGTGGAGTTGTGATTTCTTGTGGACTGATAGCTAGCTTGCTCTACAGTTACTCAAGAATTAATGTTTCTAGTGCATAGCTTTAATGAACATTCCTCTGAAGGCTGCCAGAAGGATTAAGTAACATCTTGAATATTTTGTGCTTTTAGGAGACTTATACCTCAAGTAAGAGCTAGATAGATGAGAAAAATCAGAAATATAGAGTAGGTAATAAGATGGCAGAGGAAAAAAACAATGGAGAGAACTTAAAGGAGAGAGATATGTGAATAATATTATATGATTTCAAGAAGAAAAGTTTTGACTGCTTTTAGTAAGGCAATCCGCAATCCCTAGTTTAGAGTGTTTGTTGTTCATCAAGTTTAGGGAATATGTAGAAAATATCATTTGTTCATCAAGTTTAGGGAATATGTAGAAAATATCATTTGTTCATCAAGTTTAGGGAATATGGAGAAAATATCATTGTCCCTAGAAACACAGAATCAATTGTTTTTCTATCTTCTACAATATAAGGCAAAAGATCCCCTTCTCCACAACCATAGAACGGGGAATAATCTCCATTCACAGAATTATTGTAATTCTGTTTAGGCAAAATACGTAGAAAAATGACTAAGCACATAATCTAGTACATAATAAGTACTCAATAAAATTAATTGTGACTTTTAACATACTTCTAGACACATTCTTTTAGAATAGACTTGAAAGCTGTATTTCAATTAGCAATCAACTAACATATTTCAAGCAGGTACTATAAACACTCCCATGAATTTCTGACGCTACCATATCCTCTGCCACTTGGTAGATATTTATAGTCTGGCTGCTTCCCATCTTTATTTAACTTTGTTTCTAGCATTGTCTTAGACCTTTGACATAATGTCATACTTGTTTTATCTTGCTGCCGTTATGGTCGTATTCCCTTTGTTTCAATGTATGACTAAGATAAGTTTTTCAAGAAACTTTCTAAGTTTACACTGGCATTTAGCAATAACCAAAATCCATATGCTTAAAAATGCAAATACAAATTTCCCATCCTACACATATATATATATATATGTGTGTGTGTGTGTGTGCATATATATGATATATAGAAATATATGTGTAGATACCCATAGCATATGTTCTATATTTGAGTTAAACTGTAAAATCTTTTGATAGTGTGCAATAAGCAAAATTTAAGGCTTTCCTTTGTAAAGTGAGAAATACACTGAGACATCATCTTCTTAAATTAGTGGAGATTCTGCTTCTGTACATAGATGCCTGAGCCCACTGAGACTTGTTGCATTTGGCTCATCCCCTCTGCTGTTCTAGATGAAATAAAAACTGGGGAAAAAAAAATTAATGTTTCTCTCCCTTTAGAACTACAAGACTTTCAAGAATGTATGTGCATTTGCATGTGTATAAAATATATATATTCACAGTCAAAAAAAAAGAACTACAAGACTTTCACTACTCAGGATGAAATATTACAAGGATGCCATACATTTTCATTCCCCAAAGGAATTTAAGGATTAAGTAGAAATTTGCTTTACTGGGAGTAAACTAATTCAATTCTAAGTGTTTCTTTGAGGACTCTTTTAATAACGCTAACCTGGGGGTGTAGCTAAGTGACAGAACATGTACCTTAGCATGTTAATGGTGGGAATTTCAAAGTAGCAAACTTCTCAAGGCTACTAGAATCTAATTAAACATTACTTTATCTTCCTAATAAAATGCATATTTTAGTTCATAGAGAAAGTTTAAGTCTTTATCTGGCAAAGGCACTAAACATTAGTAGAAAATAATTCATTTGAGGCTTTCATTTATGGGTCATAATTTGAGAAGTAAGTGTTATATACAATAAGGATATACTCACATACAAAATACTAAACTTAGCAGACTCAGATATTTTGCCCACTCAAAAACTACTAAATAATGACTTAATTAGTGATTTTGCTAATGACATAACTGATATTATAGTATAAATAATCACTTAGTCATTATGCTAATAATATAATGATAGTTTAAGACATGTGAATAATCTCTAGGAATTGATGTCACTAAAAATACTCACTGATTATTTTACAGGATTTCCTTTAAGGCTTCTACTATATTTTCACTGAGTTTACAGTGACAGCAAAATATACAAAAAATACAGTTTTGTAGAAGCAGGGAATAAAGAGAGTGCCTTAGGGTTCTCTTACTGTGTGTTTATTTATTGTCATCTCTTGTTTGATTCCCTCTTTGATTTCTTTGAAAGAAAACAGCTGCTTGTTACTTTCAAAGAACCTGGATCCTGAGTCACCTGTGGCAGGAGATGGAGAAGATTATTTCCTTTCTTTGTTTGACGATTCCAAGAAACTTACTTCACACTCAAGCCACGCCAAGGAACCTCACAAACACTTCTCTACAATTCTTGAAGAAGTTGGTAAATCTATATCCAGGTAAACATTTTATTTAAATTACTTAATATCGTCTACTGGGATAGGCCCAGCAAGTTATCAGAAAACAGAGTTCTGATCTGTTGTTAGATATAGTTCATCTTAAAGCCTAAACATTTAATTAAAATTTAATTGTTTAATGTTCTGAGCAACTAAAGGCAGTTGATACAACTTGCTAGGTAACTAAAGAAAATGTTAGTTCTTCAAAAATGCCAAAGGAAATTGTGCTACATAATATCTACAAATACACCAGCTCAATTTTTCAAGAACTCTTTTTGTTGGTGGTGAATCATTCAAACGGACTTTTTTGTCTTCTAACAAGTTCTTGAATTCAAAGCAAAAGAAGGCATATAAATTTTTACTCATTGGTCTGTTATTATTACTGCATCTATGACAAAAAGAATTGATACTAAGGTTTGAAGAGAACTGACTTGTCTAGTCATTTACTTGACCCTCCTTTATTTATTGCAGGAATAATAGCTTGAAATGTTAGTCACAAACACATGTTGACATAGGGTGCTAGAGAGCTAAAAGAAGTTGTCTGTACAGTTCAGTGTCAGAGAATCCACCAGGCTTTTTCTAGTGCCCGCACTCTTGTGATGCAGCCTAGAGATGCTCTCATGAAATAATTTGGAGAAATGTTAAGGTTCAGCACATTTGTTCCCTCTCAGGCACCCCTGTTCAATGATCAGTGTCTAATAGGTTCAAAACATTATTTCTTGTATTTATTACAGGACTTTTGTTGTTTTTTAGGTGGGATTTCCTGTTATTCTCTCTTGACCAAAAACAGAAGCTGTTTTTCTTTCCTAGTACCACCCACAATCTCTGAGGATCTGTTTCATGCCCGCCAGTAGATGGGGTGGTGGAGGGGGGACAAAAGGGTTTACAGGCCACAGTAAGTGCAGTAGAGAGGTTATTAGAATTTTCACTAGTTATGCGTATGCACTTTCTATATCCAAGACGTTACTTTGGCTTCAAGTTCAGAATATTAATTAGGCACAGGTTCAAAGAACTGAAACTTCTTTAAACATAAATTGTATCAAATCACAGAGTAACAGAAACTTGAAAGGAGATAAATAGCATGGAACAATTAAGGAGAACCCAATAAGTAGTTAATTCAGTGTTTAAATACATAACGGAAAGTTATTTTTTTAAGTGGCATAGCCTTGTGTCTTTTCAAACTCTTTACAAATCAAATCTGTGACAAGGTTACTGATAGGAACATCACCCTCCACCCTTAGCCAATCACAAATTATAAGCAGAGTTGCTTCCTTACTAAAGATAAATGGGAGGGCTTGTAGGGGAGAAAGATAACTACTAAAGGCTTGTAATAACAGATTAACAGCTTGCCTTTGTGAATTTCCACGTATTGTGTGAATTGTTTTCCTGCAGCTTTAGGTTTATATCCAAAAGGAAGTCAAATGAAGTGCCCTGATATGGTCAGTGTTTTGTTTTCCTTTAGAAAATTAAATTTATCTTACTAATGTGCATAAAGCAAAAAAGATAGATGAATAAATAGTTTACTTAGCTAATGAAAGATTTCTGAAAAGCAACTATAAGTGTTCAATACAGGCAGTGATGACAAAGGGGTAGCCAACCTATTCTAGGGTATTACCTGTTTAAAAACAAAAAGTAAATAGTGATCCTCTCTGTGGGAAGAAACAAAGTCTAAAAAACAAAAAAGTTGTCTGTCAAAAAATAAAAACATTTAACAAAGAATTCAGTAAGACCAGTGAGAAAAGATGTCACAGCGGAATTCCAGGGTTGTCATAGATATTTAAAAATGTAACATCTATAATTTGGTAAGAGCCATAATGCAACACACACACACACACACACACACACAGAGAGAGAGAGAGAGAGAGAGAGAGAGAGAGAGAGAGAGAAAGCTATATCAGTTGTGCAAAAGTGAACCTCTATGAGACAGGCATTCCACACAGTGTACTGGGTGTGTGATGGAAGATGACAATTTTGAAGGGAATTTGATAACATATACCTAGACAGTCCACCGATTCTCATAATTTGTCTTCTAGGAAAAGGACCCAGGGGCGATGGTCAAGTATGTGAAATCACTTTTTTCCTCAAAACAGTTCCAAGTTTCAAAGCAGCAACAAAGAGGTGGACAAGTTAATTATACATTTAGGCAGGATCATAGGACCAAGTGAATAAAAATTGGTATGTGGGATCTGTCAGAAAGGAGGGTCACTGGTAAACAACCCCAGATTTTCAGTTAGAAGGTCAAAGCCCACATCCAATGGTAAGGTTGTGTGGAAAATAAACCAGCATACTGTCAAAAATCATTTCACACCATGAATTCAATTAAAATGATTTTTTCCAAGTTAAATGCCTGCTGGAAGCAAAACAAAATAATCCTCTCCGTAGTGAGAAAATGTTACACAGAGCTCTAAATTATGGCTGTGGATTTTTTAAAAATTGTGATACTAGGTACATAATCAAAAATAATGTGTATAGAAGGCAGAAGTTAACCAAAAACCAAGATCAAAAATAGACACCAGAAACAGATGTAGGAAATGCACATATTATGATTATCAGATGAGGATTTTTTTAATGGCTAAAATATTCAAAGAATTACATGACAAGGTAAAAACTTGGACCTAGACCTGTAGTCTAAAGACAAAAACATCAAAAACAAGTTCTAGAAATAAAGAATCTAATAATAGAAATTACTATTTCAGCAGATAGATATAATTGTGCATTTGATATGGCAAAAGAGAGAATTGTTGCCCTAGTAATTCTAAGAAGAAAATATCCAGACTGAATCATAGCAAGGAGATTACATCCAGGAAAAGATTTTAAAAATCTAACCACTTATAACTGTAGTTACTGCTGGAGGGGAAAGTGTGAAATCAGACAGTACAGATGGAATCTACACACAGCAGAGCCTTTTCCTAGATTCACGAAAGACATCAAACCAAAGATTCAAGAAGCTCCCAACTCACACATGATAACTATGAGCTCCCAACTCATAGCGTGATAGCAAATGCAAATAAACTAGGTACATGGTAGAAAAACTAGTTCTAAAACAGAAGACCTGAAGAAAATGTTAAAATTAGAGAATAAAAGGCACATATTGTCAATGAAACAATGAAAAGATGGGCAGTGGGTTTATCAAAAGAAAAATGGAGATACTGAATAAATTTCCAATGAGAGCATCGAGGACTAAAACTGCAGGCCAACAGGGTAACCTTTCCGAACACTGCTTTTAAAATCCTAAGTAGTGTGTTGTAGTTTTCTTTTGCTGCCATAAAAAAATTGATACTAACTCAGCAGTTTAAAATGAGATCAATAGCACCCGCTCATTGTCACAGTTCTGTGAGTCATGCGTAAGTCTTGGTTGGTTTGGCTGATTTCTTATGTTTCACATGTTCAAAATCAAGGCAGCTGAACACTTACTGAAGGCTCTGAAGGGAGTCTGCTGTCTGCTCTTTGAGGTTGTTGGCCAAAATCAGTTCTTCGTGGTCTTAGGACTGAGGTCCCATTTCCCTGGGACCTCAGTTCTAAGACCACGAAGAACTGGTTTCCCCGCTGATGGCCAGTGTGGAGTCACGTGAGCTCCCTGAGGTCTCGCCCAGGTCCTTGCACATGGACCCAAAGTGCATCCACCCTTTTCCTTCTGCTGAAGCTCTCTTCACCTCCCAGCTGGAGTCAATTCTCTAATATTAAACATTTGTTTGATTAGATTCCATCTATGTGAATGGGCCGGGATAATCTATCTTAAAATTCATAACTTTAACTTTATCTGAGAAGTCTTTTTTTCCATGTAACATAACACATTCCCAGGATCTAGGGATGATGGATGAACCCTTTGAGCAGCCATTCTGTGTTTTACAAAGGAGTAGAATTCAAAAGCAATTAACACAGTACTAAAAAAAAAAAAAAAAAAAAAAAAAAAAAAGTATCCAACCAAAACTTATATAAAGCCATACAAA